TGTGAACAGTCTCCGGTATTTAAAACGCATTGTTCCCCCACTAATACCGGCAGATGGACGTGCTCAAAGCGCCGAGGATGCAGCCAACGTTTTACGGCTTCAATATGCCCTAATTTTTCGACGTGTTCCAAGCATTCGTAACACACCTGTACACACTCTCCCAGATGCCAATGTTTACACACGTCACGTTTAGTTCGGCAACCATTTTAAGGAAGCTGATATGGTTGCTCACTTCCAGTTCCGCGTAGTTGATAACGTTCCCCCAAAAGCACTGAAGATGGCTGCTAGGATGATAGCTGAACGATTAAAGAAATTTTCCTAAGGTGCCTAGATGAACAGCAGGTCCCAACATGTAGTAGAAAGACATCATTGCCCCGATTTTTAAGAGTAGTAGCCGTATAGAGCCAGCCAACTATGGCCCAATGACTCTGTTTCAGGCGCTTTTCAAATTGATAAAATCGATCATGGCTGAGGCTGCAATGGGTTACTTTGAAAGATCTAACCTTTTAGAACCGATCATGTACTATTAAGCTACTGCTTGTGCGTGGCAGTTGGACTAAGATAGACGAGAATGTAACGGGCATTGTTGTCATCTACGTAGACTTTTCCAAAGCATTTGACCGCATAGATTACTGCATCCTTCACCAAAAGCTGTAAGCATACGAAGTTGGAACCTTCTCCTTGGATGGATCGGAAACTTTCTCTTGCAGCGACACCTTTAGATTCTAGTTCGAGGTTCATTTTCTGATTTAATTGGTATGGACTGCGGTGTTCCAAAATGTCGGTGTTGGGGGGAGGTTATACTTGTTCTTTAGTAACGACCTTGCGAGTGTCATTAAGTCAACTTTTCTGCATTTTGCTGATGACATTAAGATATGGAGGGCAATCATCTGTCATGAAGATCACGATATATTGCAAAGAGACTTGGACTGCTCCTTTGAGTGGTCAAAGCTAAATCTACTTCCGTTTAAAACGGACAAGTGTAAAACCGTGCTTGTTCACCACAAGCCCAGGCACGCACATAAGCTTGAAGATGATATGCTGAACTCTGTCACACAAGAGCGAGACATTGGGGCGGTAATTCAAGACGACCTCGGCTGTTCGGCGCAGTCCTTGCAGGCGTCCAAAACTGCGAACCAACATATCGTTCTGTTATGGAGGGATTTTGGGAGGTTCGATCCCTCCATCTTCCTCGAACTATTCAATGCGTTTGTGAGGCCCCAGATAGTGTACGCGATCCAGGCTTGGCAACCCTGTTTAAAACGCAAGCCGGTTGTACCAGAGACTGCCCACCGTAGGGCAATGAAAAAGGTTCATGGGTTGTCGCACTTGCAATACCATAGGCGACTGAAAGTCCTGGGAGTGTACAGCGAAAGATATCGCCGTCTACGAGGTGACATCATCCTGGCGTTCCAGATGTTGAAAAACCTCGGTCACACTTGCCGTCACCTCCTGAAACTTAGCTACAGCACAGAATTGAGCGGTCATAAATTGAAAGTTGCCACCTAATACAGTCGGCAGAAGTGCCGTCAGAATTACTTTTCCCTTTAGGTTTGTCAACCGTGGAACGCTCTTTCGACTTTTGTTATTTCCGCGCCCACGCTACCCAATTTTTAAAAACGACTCGACGATGCTTTACATCATTTACATTAGTTGATCTGATTTCTATTCTCTGAGTGACGGTAAGACGTAGACAAATAGTGTGCTCACCAACCCCGCGAAATCGGGTTAGACGGATGTATATGTGTTAATGTGGATAATATGGTGTTCATAGAAGAGTTTTTCAATTTTGTGTAACTTAATTAAACTTATGTTATTTCCACAAGCCATTCCACGGAACCGGTCAATCCTTGGCTTTTATCCGTATTATACCATTGGTCTATCGTTCTATTATACTTCGGTTGAAGCTCTGATGTTAGCCTCGTATTTGCCAAATCACGCGGTTATCATTACCGCCATTCCTATTACAATCATGATTCTCACATGGTGAAAATCTGTAGCTGGAAAATAACGTAGGAGAGATAACATGGTGACTTCGGCACTTTCCATCAGCTGTTATAGCTTCAATATAGCTTAATGTAAACATGGTAACGTTGATAAAATGTCGGTTCTCTGACAAGAAGCCCTAAGGTTTTTCGTTTTGCGTTCTGCCTTGTTCATTTGCTTATGAATGCCGCATTGCTTATAGGTGCCGCTCCTTACCGCAGGTTCTAACACATCGAAACACACAGCGACGTTGTTCACGGACTTCCCAGCAGCCATATTCTGGTTTTTGGTTCAGGATGATAGCTTCCTATTTATAATGCAGAGCAGTTCCTTAAATGCATTACAGTCAAATCGGAGAATGTTATGAGGGGGTTGCAACTTTGTGGGTAATGCTAAGAACTGTATTGGCAGCACCCATCAGCTAAAAGGTTTCATGCTGCGTTGTCCTGGAAGGTCCGTAGCTAAAACCAACTAAAAGATACCAACAAATTTTGACACCTTTAATAATCGGAAGTGTGCAACTCGGTGAAAAGGTTTACGCATATCAAGGTATATGCTTACAACTAACCCTTTATCATCTGCAGCCATTAGTATGTGTTTAAGATCGTTTAATTCCAAAGTAGCACCTGACCAGGCCTGTGGAAAACAGGGATATTATCCCTTGAGTGGATTTTCCGACAAAAATAAAACCTATCAAATCGTGTTGACCATTTGTTTTTGTTCCAGACGGTATGCTGGATGGTTACCTCCAGTACTCGACAGTTTATATTTATCTATCTTCTTCCGGATGCTCAACCGGAACAGCTTAAAATTACGGCGATATTGCAGTCGTTTAGACTATCCACAATCTTACTTATTCTCTGCGTTAGCGAGCCCTGATACGTCCATCCAAATTCAGTCAGTGCGCCATGTGAAAATATGCCCTTTTGGCCGTCTTCCATTGCCCGGTGAACGACATAAACTTACGGCCCTCTTCTGTGTGCGATTGATCACTTTCGTCAGCGCTTCTGTTGTACGCAGTCTAGTCATCCCCAGTCCGAAACCTTACTTGGAATATACCTTCCTCGGTAAACTTACCTGCAAAAATAAGGTGGCACTGATCCATAAACTGAAAGGAAGGGAAATCAAGCATGTCAACAGCCTAGACCATACGTATACGAGCTCCTATTAAAATCCATCGGGATGTATTCCATGGGTATCTGCGCTCTCTAGGGGAACTCAAAGTCCGAGGGCATCTTTTATCAAATCCTAAAGAAGTCCAGCGACCTTTGTCGCTCATAAAATTCATGCACAACACCCACCTTAGAAGCCACTAGCTTACGTTTGGCAGTGCAGTATACCAAGCTATAATGCCGCATTAACACATCCTCCATCTAAGTTGCAAGTTATGGACTGTCATTCACTGGTACACAATCTCGGTCACCACCGCACTAGTGAATAAACTTCAGACGATGTTTTTACGTTTTTCTTGTGTATACACTCACCATCATTTCGTTGCATGACCCAACTGTTTGGTCACTTCCAAAAAGTACCACCAAATATCCTAATCATATTTGGTTACCACAAGTCCCTTAGCAGTTTTGACCTTTTGAGCAATGCTCCACATTCAACCCAGAACCGCGACCACAAACACCGTCATTTCGAACTTCCCACGGAATGGTAGGTCGACTTTGGATGTTAATCTGCATGTGACCAAGGCAGCCAGCTCGTTCACACAGGCAAACCGCGATGCGTAGTAGCCTTCATGAGGCATTCCTTGGTATTGCCTTCAACGAAATACGCAGCGAAAAGACAGCGACGGTTGTGGGTAGCTTATTAATTATCGGCATACCCATCGTTCGAAATAAGATCAATCAGTGTAACGAATGCTTACGTCAGTGACCTGCAGGCAAGTTGGTCTGTATGCCATTCCAGTATTGTCACCATGTATCAGAGCGGCATGTCAATATCTGTGTGGCAACTGATATCTGTCGAGGTCTGTTTGTCTATCCGTCGTCAGTACATCTGTACCCAGATGCAGGCGTACGGCCATCACTAGTCGTTCACACCCAGGTGGCCGGGTGAGAGACACTTCCTGAGAGACTAACATCTATCATTGGACAGTTGGCAACTTCGTGCGCTCTAGTCTCACAAAAGGAGTGAACCTTGGTCCCCAGCAACGGAGTGAAACGGGACCAGTCTTTTGGGACTTACCGTACACTAAGAAGTTTTCAACGTGCTGAAATGTACGTTGTGTTGGTTTTTCTGATCTAACGCACCCAATTCGTAATCACGGCGTTAAGGTTTGGCTCAGCAAGCGATACAATCGTGCGCTCCCTCGCTACCATCGTCAGTTAAGTTTTCGTGTCCGGTGTCGTATCTTTGCAATTACCGTAGAGCAGTTTAAACCGCAACTCACCTACGTGTCTTTTCCCTAATTATTGGAAACGGTACTAGCTGGTATTCTGTCGGTTCCTCTAGGACTGTTAGCACGAGCGGTTCACTCTCTGCATTATTCTGTCGACGCGTGGCCGTTCTTCGGATTTCCACATATAACCGGGAAGTGCTTCCGAATCATCATAAGACCGGTGTACTATTTTGTCCGTGTTTCATAAGAGGCGGCGCAGTGCATTATGACCTGACACCAGCGTTTATTCGACAACATAACTAGTCTCCAAACGTTGGTTTCTAATGTTGCTAAAGATAGTTTAGCGGTGTGCTCCGCTGCAAGAGGGACATTTTGGTCAAGCTGACACATTCGCTGCTTGAGGAATACCGTTACAAAGAGGCGTTTTTGGATAGAAATATAACGGATACATAACAATCGAAGACTGGCGGTGACGTTCGATGCATGCAGCATTGCTCGCTTTTTGCATGCTAACACGGGCGCGATAAACATATCGTGGGCAATTTGTGCCTGGCGAGCAAGTGTGGAGGAATCAGACAAACTGTGAATTGAAGAAAACCTATAGATAACTGTTTGAAAATGGTGCTCACTAGTTGCACGAGCAATAATCTGTGAGTGAAACCCAAATTTGATGAGTAAAAAACCAAATTTATCATATTATAAAATTAGTATAAAAACAGTACGTAACACGGATGCGGAGTGTATGCACATAAGTTCCGTGTACACACCAACTCGTGACTCTAGAAGTTTTGCCTGATAGCACAGAGGTAGGGAAGTATTATCATTAGGGTTTCGGAAAACAGCGTAATAATAAAATCCTTTTACATCTCAGAGTAAAAGAAAAAGAACAGTATAGCCAGAACGACAGAAGCTACGCTGGCCCAAGTAGCTGACAGGATCCATGCGGCGAAATCGGTACTGCCACCAAAAACGCAACCGCTGGAAATGGCATAGCAGATGACTGCAATAAAAAACAAGAAAGTGGAATTCTCAATGACCTTGAGAGTTCGTACAGCAGACCATTCAGTGAGCTACGCTGAAAATTTAACACAACTTGATGGAAAATGAGCACACTTAGATCACCGTTACAATGTATGTCGCCACATTTCCATTGAGGGAGTTCATAGTCTTCATGAACGGTCACTGATTTTCTTACGTTTCCATTCCAGAAACTAAGCAAATTGAAAGTTATCCTCTAAACGACTCAGAAAGGCGTTTAGTTCAAATACGTTTGGTTCATTCCATGTCGTCAATTGTGATTTGATCGTTCTGAGAAGAAATTACTAGTATCAGGCACCTATCAACAATATAAGTAATAATACCAAAACAGAACAAATTAGAGCAAAGGAAAAACAGAATGAAGTCAAATATATCAAGGGGAAAAAGTTAACACTACACTTAAAGGATCATGCAATTAACTAATGGCGGCAGCTGCAGAAGTGCATGGCTACATCGCGTCAGATCGGCACTCTAACCAGTGAGGCTTGTAGACAACCAGCTCTTCATTTCGCTAATCGGCTTTTACTGACATGCCCTTCTTTTATGATCGTGATAACATAGCAGGTGGATCACAAAGCTGTGGCAGCCACATTTAGGTGAACCGAAACCGCATCCTGATCTCCACTTCGTCGACACCGATAATGGGGTTTTTGGCAATCCGTTTTAAGTGCATATTTCTTCATTTAAAAAGTAACGTATTTGTATTAGTCATGTCATCAGTAGAAATCGCATTCGCAGGGTTTCCAGAGTGTTCAAAAAGGAAAAACTGGAACACACATTAAGAAATTAGTTAGCAACTCAATAGATTTCCGGATCTGCAAGAAGTAAACTGTGATCAGTTATGGGCTTCCTTATGGTGTTAGAACTGAACAACAACGGAAACAAACGACTAAATTGTGAGCATTTGAAACTGAGAAAAAGTAGCCATCAGATGGTATTCGTAGAAGTAGACTAAGGGTTTCCGCAGGCACGGAAATTTAGGGGATAAAAATGGTTTCCGGTTAACAGAGGCGCTAGGCTAGTGGAATAAGCAAGTAAATTGGTGAATTGAAAACATATTTGCAAAATAAAAGTCTAAAAGACCGAAGAGATCACTTACATCCGACCGCAGTGAGTATGAAGGTGATAATCAGGAGAAGTTTACCACGACCAGTTTGTGCAAACATGAGGACAAGAAATGCGATTGCAGCCCCCAACAGCAAGATGACGCCGATGATGTTGAAAGCGATGGTACAGTTAAGTCGACTTGATAGGTTCGAATCTGAAATGAAAATATAAACTAATTTACTATTACTAGCAAATTTGTTTTGATGAGTTATGCGATGAATTTGCCATATTGTACACCGTGCAGACACCGACGATGGTAGTGACAGTACCTTGCGCGAATGATATGCACTTTGTGCATTGTGCTACCTGGTTGCATTCTAACGCCACAGAACAACTAGAAAACCGGTGATGCAGCCACTAACTCTTGTGAGTGAAGCAATTAGATGACACGGAAATCCAGCTTAGCTGATACGTTCTTTGTTACATCTGGCTTTATACATAAGTTTACTGAAGCACACAGACCGTACCGCATTAGAAAAATGAGCCTCGAATGCTACTTTTAAGAAGCATCATCCCACTTTCATTGCATATTAAGCTAATTCATCAGACGATAACTTTTACATTCATGACTTCTGACACCTTTTCATTCAAGTAGAAGCTTGGGAATACTAATTTTCTGATAACACTTAAAGCAGTCACTAGACGTGTTTCACCTGGTATTTTAGTACATTCCTTCACTTACCACAAGCGTAGCGACTCTTGCCTCCCTGTCTAAGGTAACGCCATTTTTATATTGCTAGATAAAGCGCTGATACTCAATTATTCCTTTTCAATAGCGATGACAATAAAACGAACAATTTGACCAATTTCGTGGTCTCAGTACTAGGTGCATCACTTATTATCAGTGTGTACAACAATTAAACCGGTGGTGATAACTATCATTGTCTGGACAATTATTCATGGAATTAAAATGCATTTGATTCATGATAAACTCACGTCCAATATACGGATTCAAGCCGAGCGCAATAATCCCGAGGAGTGACGCTATTAAAACGGTCACAATAAACGAAATCTTCACTGCCTTATCTTCCATTATGTTTTGGGTAACTCCTGTTTGGCGTTGTGTGAATCACTCTTATACCGGCGTGTTTGGCCACCCAACCATTTGGCAGCCAATGACATTCGGTTTGCGTTGCCAATACATTCACGCAACCTTGACGACCACAAGGTCGCTGAGCATGCATATCTGACTGTTCACCTACTTTTATCAAACTTATGCGTCATTTCGAGAACGCATTTTGCCTTCCTCAACATTGGCTAAATGTACAAAGATGTCTCATGGTGTTAAAACGGTCAAATAAATGTACATATTTTAATAACAAAGATGTTATCAAGGCCGGTTTAACCACCGACATTTATAGCGAAATCCACCCACCTTGACTAAATTCCTACCGGTGCTACATGTAAGTGGATTCCGTGAAAGTTCGTGGTAACTGTTTATGCACGTAGTAATCTTCTTCCACTAATGCAATGTATTTTGTATATGGTTATACACCGGTACTGACATTGGTGTTGCCGATACTCGCGTACGAAGTGAAACTAACTCCTTCCAACTGAGTTCAGCTCTGCCCTAATGAGTTATACAAACCCGTGTTATGACCGTTAAGATCATTTATTCCTTCATTTAAGCACATTTGATCTGTTTTTGTTCAAACTGGGAACAATGCGCATTAATTATTGTCTATACCGCTGTAGCTAACCGTGGTGTTTAGCTTAAACATTATTTGGAATATGTGCCTTATGGTCCAAAATAGAACAAAGCATATTCCGAAAGTTCAGAGAGGTTTGGAAACAATCGGTTGGTATAGTATTTTGGTAACGTTTTGCCTTTAACATAAAGGCTTCGTCAGACCAGGTGAATCAGTGTGCAATTGGTGTGAGATTTCAAAGCGAACAGGGGCGGTAACCGCGGTACCAGCCGTAATAATGGGTAGGGCTTCAAGAAGCAGCACAGTCAACAAGTTTGATACATATATACTTCAGTTCTGTCCTTTTGTCTTAATAGGTATTATGATCGTCAGATGGTGCAAACGCCTGTTCTACATCCGCGTTCCTTGATAATTGTACTTCCATTGTAACCCCTTCTTTAGCTTTACCACCTATTTTATTAATCCAATTATTAATATTACTATATGTATATTATCGCGAGTTATGGCAACCATGTCTGGCACATTTCAGCGAAGTTTACTTCTCTTCTGCCTTCTTGCTCTTGTTTGTTATGGAAAATTAGAAACATTCTTTTTTAAAAATTTCCTGGCAGCGGATGATGATTCTTAGGTTTAGAATGGTAAGTGTGCGTTCACTAGAACTAGCGTTTAAAAGCGACGCGGCACTGCACGGAGTTGACCTCAGAGCTTACATGTGCGCAGAGCGATCGACCACCGAAGCACAATATACAACCTTTGGCAGAATATGGATAACTGTACGCGCTTAAGAAACCCAGTTGGTTTGTATCGATCATTGTACCTGAAACGATGGCCTTTGTACCCCAGTCTGATTTTCCTGCAAATAGTGTCACAAACCCACAATATCACTGATAAACCACTGAAAATGCTCGTGACTTCGGTCAAAATGAGAAGCGCCACACTTAATTCAACGAAAAAAACGAGAATGAAGTGAAATGCGCGCAAACCTCCGTGATTACGGTCCATCTGTTGGCACTGTAAAAAGAGATTTTTATTCTCTGCTAATACAACTGTCATGAAGCGTCGGTTACCAAGGCTAAAACGATAACCTCCGAAACCCCTTAGCTTCTGTATTCTATGAAGGTAGCGCATGTAAATATTCAGCAAGTATTACTGAACCTGTATCCTCAGTAACATCCAGCATCGAGTTATTAGAGAAACATATACATGAACAAAATGTCAAATTTTGCGGCTGGATTCTGTCGCGTATAGCCTGACATCTGTTTCCGACTTAATTGATTCACCTAACGCATATCACACGCCTGTGAATGGGGCGATGCTGTAGTGGCTGAGGTAGTTGAAAGTGCAAGCTGGTCCCAAATCGGTGACAAAACTATTCGCTATTTCTTCACGATGAATCGACGTAACTGCGATTAATGCATTTGAAGATACACTGATATTGAACCAAAAGATCTAAGGACATGAAATGCAACTGTGATAATAACAATCTTCTTGGAATGCTTATTATACTTAGAAAGAGCCGTTATGGGTATGGGATAAAATCTAAGAATCCTACCATGGCTAATAATGAAAACAATCCTAGGTTACCTGCAAAACATAAACCCCTTACCTCTCAGAATACGCTTGCTGGTCATCAGACGCGTAACTTCCGCTACGCCAATAAACAGTACTTTTACTTCTCCTCCTTTCTAATTTTTCCCACTATGTTTACCCAGTCCTTGTCATCTCCTTTGACTTACTCCACAATACTACCTCACTCGCATATGTTAAACCCTCACAAACTACTCCAATTTTAGAACTGCTTTATCCATTCCGCTCTTTTTATTACCAACGTATGTCTTAAATCTCACCGTAAAAGAGTTATTGCGGATGTAGCAGTGGCTAATATAGGCTCCAGTTCGAATATGTGCTGTGGGTCAAACCTGAGCCAGAATGCTTACTGAATGGTGTTAATTAATATACGTGCACTGGTAAATAAGATGCAATTAATGGGTAACTGGAACAATGATCACTGAACAATGATTACTTGCGGGCCGAAATGCCATATTTCTAATCCTCGTTGTGTATTCTGGTGGGTTATCGCCAGCAGATACTCCCAAAGATTTCAGCTAATGATCGTATGGTAGGCAGGGCATTCCATTGACGTATTTAGAAGCCCAACCTTGAGGTTGATCCAGTGCAGTAAAGTCGTGCTTCAGCTGTGGTAGCCAGGCTTGGATGGGGTATTCGACATGGGGACGTACATACACTTTCAGCACATATATGAAAGAGCTGTCTATTTGTTCGAACACCCGTCGTATCAAGCCGACGTAATGATTACCGGTTTTCGATGCCTCTGCGGATTGCTCGGAACAACTTAAATTATCCTGAAAAAGAAAGCTAAGGTTGCATATAACAGATGATCACCGCGATACATGCTTACATATTATGTAGGAATGGGTACTCTGGTGTTGTTTGGCGAGTACCATTCATTTTTCTACGTTGAACTATAACAGGTTTCGGTGTGACCACTGATGTACCCTAACAAGGTCACACTGAAATTAATTCTGACGCGTATCTGCCTGAATGCGGCGTCATATATAGATATCGTCAGCAAACAGCAGGAGATATGAGGTGATTTCCTTGTAATGTCATCAATGAAAACCAAAACCGATCGTGGATTTGAAACCGACTCCTTGGGCACACCAGAAACGATTGGTAAGTGTTCAGCTAAGTTACTCCGCACTCTGACTACTAAGTTTCGTTGCAGGAAAAAGTTGACGATCCTGCGCAAGACAGGGTTACGGATCCCTTAATATTGGAGCTTGGAAAGTAGACTCCGATTATCTATACCATGGAATGTCCCTGATAAATCCAAGTAGATCATATCAACCGTGTTTTCAGAGTCAGCTGCCTCCATGGAACTGCTCCACGCGATTAATAACTTCGTTGTGCACGATCGCTGTCGACGAAAGCCGTGTTGCTCAGAAGCAATAATGATACAATTTTCGAGATAACGCACCAAGGCACCCGCAACGTTGGATTCCATGACCTTAAATTATTCAGGAATAAGAAACACTGCGAGGTAGTGTGAGAGCATAATTCTGCTTCCGTCTTTGTGAAATGGGGTTCTACATCGCAAAATCTGGTTCTGCTCCAAGCAGCGCTGAAACTACCGGGACAAATATTTTGCTGGTTGTCTTGCTACTGTTCTCAATGCCTCTAAGCGCATAGTGTCTACTGCCGGGGAGCAGTGATTGGAAGATGGTCTAAAGATAACGCTCTAAGACGCGGAAGCATATTGCGTCAGCAACGCCTTAGCTGTTTCTGTAGCTGTTCTGTTTGGACCATCAGTCGTCTGGAATATACAAATGCTCTGCCTCATATTAAGACTGTCATTGGTATACTTGTGCAACAGTTTCTTGTTTGTTCTAAAGGTGTTAACTATATGCTGATGATATGCGGTTATTTCATTTCTGCTCCCTTGAGTGCAGTAGTTACTAAGGGCTAGATAATTGTCCCAAGTATCTGTCATTGGTGGTGATTTGTACTCTTGCCAGGCTACTTTGCGTACGGACAAGCATTTTCGATTTCTGCTCCTTGCGAAAGAAACAGATTTATGCCCATCGCAAACCCTTGTCTCTAAGTCATCCGTAGCCGGTTACTTTAATTTGCTTACGAATTCAAGCGAAGCGGCTTCTGAGTGGCCTTCAGTGAAGAACGTCCGGGTTGTGACTCTGACAAGCTGGGCTAAGCGGTCGTAGTACGTAATGACATGCACCAACTCAGGGTTCTGGTTGCGATTTTTCGCATAACATATGAATTCGGAACTGATGACCGCATGACTACCACGACGCAAAGGACCGTCGAATACAAGTATGTAAATCATATGTTACTCGTTGGTGAACACAAGGTCCAAAAACGATTGTCTGTTACCTGTTCTGAAAGGTGTAGCCATAATGGCGCGATTGTAAATTAGCGGATCGGTTATGAGTTGTTCCACGATTGTACTAGGGGTTTATAAACAGTGTGCCTTGATATCATTCAAGATAAGTGTGTGAGTGCGCATTTTTGCTTCAGACGACATCCGAAAGCTGTCGCAAAGTGGTAGCTCATTTCCCATTCAGAGTTTTTTGGGGTGGTAGTCTAATCTATAAAGCAAGTGCGTTTGACATGTAATCGCAGGAGGAAACTAATGTGAATCGGCGTACTGTAAGGCTGACTTCACTCTTGCACTGTAGTTCGCTTTGATAATAAAAATTAACCCTCCTTCTTTCGTAAGCCTTTCGTATAAGTGACATGCTCGGCAGGGACAATTCACAGCCTGTCATTCTACTGTGCAACCATGCCTCCGTGAAATGGATGATATCGCGTAGCTTCAGAATCTGGCAATCTTTCAGTTTGTTAGCTTATTGCAGTGGCCTTGAGCATTTGTACGGA